CTGAGCAACAGCGGTTCAATGCCAGCCCGAGCTGAGCAGCCGCTGAGCTGCCAACAGGTAGCAGGATGGCTCAGCTTAAAAAAAATAAATAAATAAAAAGGATACAAGGCTCCCTGACCCCTTCCCCAGGGTCTGCCAGGGTTGCCTGCCTGGTGAGACCTGCCCAGCCTGTCTAAAATTCCACCCGCCCAGCACTTCCTAACCCCTCCCAGCTGTTTATCTCATTAGCAGGGATCACTGAGGGGACTGCGTATTTTACATCTTTATCTTGCTTATTCTTCATCTTCCCTACTCTTCGGTAAGCTCCCCCACGGTCAGGGGTTTGTCTATATCATTTCACTCAGTAGGTTACAGGACTTGTCTATTCCATTCATCGCTCCACCCCTGGTGCCCAGAACAGGGGCTGGCACACAGTACGCCCTCAATAAATGTTTGTTAAACGAATCACTGCAGGTGCCTGGAGAGCCGATTTAATCCAGGCCCCCGACAGAGACTTCTTGGTGACCTCTAAATGCTCTTGGGACACACAGGAGTCCTTGGGGAGGGCGCTGGGAAATTTTGGCTTGGATTTCTGGGGTCCTCACCCTGGTAGCATTAGGGGCTAGAGGGTCAGTGCTGGATTGAAGGCGAGAGTGGCAGGAGGGAGAGAAAAGCTTCTCTTTCATATCTCCTGACCTGCTATTCTCTGACCACCTGGCCCAGCTGCCGACTCCTCCCCAGAAAAGGAGCTACCATCACCCACTGTGTTGCCAGCCTTGCTCCCCACAGAATCAGAAAACGCCAACCCGGCAAACACAGAGGGACTGGCACTGAATTCTTCAAGTTCTAGTCTTGGCTCTCACATAATCCAAGCAAGATAGTTGTTTGGGGGAGCTGGGGCCAATTCTCTACCTTGATTCTATTCCCGTCTTTTAGAAACTTCCTTGCCCTTGACTGGCTGTCACAAGGAGAGAACAGGTTTAGGCTGAGGGGTGCCCAGTACTCAGCTTTTCCTCTCTCTTTCCAGGGCCTTCACACCCACCCCACGCCCGAGTCTGCCACGCACACGTGCCTCTCGCTCTCTGGGTGACCTCAGGAATGGCCCGTCCCCTCTGAGCCTCAGTCTTTTCACCCATGAAATGTGAATTGCAAAAGTACCCACCATGTACGGGGGTGCTGGAAGGTGACGAGGGATAAAGATGGGAAGGCATGATGCCAGCTCCCACGATGAATAGCTCCGGGATGCATGGCAAGAGCTACATCCTAGAAATTAGGCCCACTCTGCTCATGCGGTTGCACAGGAAAGAGGCGAGGCAGGGGTGGTGGTGGTGAGTGGGTGTGCTGGGGTAGATGNTGAGTGTGACCTGGATGTGGGGGCTCCGCCTCACTGTCACCAGTTCATCCAGCATCCAGGATACCGCGTCCAACCCCCACCCCAAAAAGCAGCCTGGACGGAGAGGCCCCTGGAAGGATGAGTCCTTTCCAGGCAACCATGTGCTCCGAGGGGGCTGCCAACCCCGAGAGTGACCCCGAAAACATCCTGTGTCTGGGCTCCTTCTTCCTGGTTTGGGACACTTATTCTTAACGAGGCGCTTATTTCAGCCCCTAAGGAGCCAGTTTGGCAATTTGTGGGAGGCGCTTTTGGTTGTTATGATGATGGCAAGAGTGCTCCTAGCATCACAGCGGGAGGGAGGTGGCGTCTGGGTGGTGGACATCCTGCAACACCAGGGAGAAAGCCACACAAGGAAGAGGGGTCCTGACTGCCATGCAACCTTTGGTCATCCACACATTAAAAAAAAAAAATGCTTAAATTCTTGAGCCATGATCCCAACTCAGTCGTACACATACCTATAAATAAAGCTTTAAAACGTACTCAATTTTCCACGCATGCCACTATTGCAACGAAATCTAAGAAAGACAGGGCATGGCTGTATCGGGAGCTGTTCACCATTTCGGAAAAATCACATCACCAAGGCGACGCTGCTGGTAGCGTTCGAGTTGCCAAAACAACACACCTGTGCCAATCTGCACTCGACGCTGCTGTGTTTGCAGCAGTTCTGTGTTTAGGTGCAAACATCTGACGGTTCTAGTGGGGTCACGCCTGCGCCCTGATACATTAAATGACAGGTTTATCGTCAATTACTTTTATGCGCTCTCTCCTGTATTTTATAGTTAGGACATTTATTGATTTTTAAAATGCAACGCGTGGTTATATGATCCATGAATTACGGTAGCTGCTGGTTAGTAAAGGGGGCACTTAAAAATATTTGTTAAAAAATGGGGAAGGGGAGTGTCTTTGAGTCCAGCATGGCCATGAGCCGTTGAGCTTGGGGAACATGTGCTTATTATTAAATAGTCCTCATCCTTAGCACCATTTACCGCAGTGGGTTTCGTGGAGCTCGGTGGCTGCCCTGGGTCACTTTGTCTTAAATCTTACTTCCTCTGAAAGAGTTTTTTCTGCTTTTTGGTTCAAACAATGGCACAACGTGCAAGGATGACACAGGATAACCAGGGGGAAGACTGTGATGGATGAGGGTGGGCTGAGAGCTCAGGTGTGGCCTCCCACGTTGGAAAAACAGGTCCGACCGCACATCAGATGGGCGTGCCTCTCCCTCACCTTCAGGGGACAAAGGGGGCTTTCCTGAGAGATGGGGTTTGGAGAGGCGGCTAGGGCCTGGCTGATAAAAGGGCTCCCGTTCAAGTCCTTCATATTTGACACCTCGTGCAAGCCTGGTGTCCTGCCACCGGCGTTGGTGTCCCACGCTGATGGCTGGGAGAGAGGGTCACATTGGCTCCTTAGAGGGAGGACCCAGCTCCTAATTGTGGGAGGGACTTCTCCATGCCACAACAGAGATGCAGAGCCCTGGGATATTCTGATGCTCATGACCCCCTGCTCACACCATGCCCAGCTGAGCGTCAGCACCAAGCGTGTGGAGCAGCAGCTACAGTCGGAGTTCAGTGGCCACACACGGTGAGACAGCCCCCACTCAGTGTCTCGCTGCTCCTCTTGGGAGAGGCACTATGGAGGATCAGGGAGGCGAGTGGGCTGGAGGGCAGGGGATCAAAGGGCAGCAAGTGACCCTTATCACCCCTCTGCCCAGGGGTTTCTGACAGAGCCTCGTCTTCCTCTTTGGGGGGGGCTCTGGGATCTTGCTGGAATGCGCTCAGTTTTTGCCCAAGTGTGGGAAGGTGGGGAAGCCCAGGAGGCCACAGGTGGGCTGCCACAGACTGAGGGGCCCCCCAAAGGGCTATTTTGGGG